GCCGCAGCTGCTCTGCTGCTGCCTCGCGCTGTGCGTAGGAAGCGCGGAAGCGAGAGAAGACAGGGCCCCCTGGAGGCCCTGCTGCTGCTGCTGTTGCCGCTGCTGCTCGGGGGCTGCCCGAGGCTGCTGCTGCTGCAGCAGGTGCAGCAGCAGCAGCAGCAGCAGCAGCAGCAAATGAAGACGCAGCGAAGAGAGGCTGCCAGCACTCAGGGGATAGAGAGACACTGAGAACGGGGCTCTTATACTTAATCGACAATTCAGGAGAGACGAACAAACATGCTGCTGCTGCTGTTGCTGCTGCTGCTGCTGCTGCGTTCTTTCCTCGTGCCGCCCTTGAACTGCTGCCGCTGCTGCTGCTGCTGCTGCTAACTGCTGGCAGAAGGTGCAGCAGCACGCTACCATCAAGCGCAGCAGAGGCGATGAGGCTTCGGGGCCCCACACTGATGTCCGTTATCTGTGAGCTGTGGCCCTGCAGCACCCAATGCTGCTGCTGCTGCTGCTGCTGCTGTTGCTGCTGCTGTTGCTGCTGCTCCAAAGCATTAAAGCCATTTACCAGAGAGCCCGCGTCAGCAGTCTTCTGTTGCTGCTGCTGCTGCCGTTGTTGTTGCTGTTGCTGCTGCTGCTGCTGCTCGCGAGTCGCCAGAGGCAGCAGCAGCAGCAAACCACTGCGGAAGCCAAGCAACGCTGAGTCCTCAACAACAGCGCATGCAGTAATGTCTCCCAGCTGCTGCTGCTGCTGCTGCTCTTTCGAATGCTGCTCTTCCCTATGTTCCTGCTGCTGCTGCTGCTGCTGCTGCTGTTGTGCTGGAGCCAACGGCAGCCCATAAGGGAGGCCCACGGGGCGGCATTCATACATTTGCTGCTGCTGCTGCTGCTGCTGGAGGCGCTGCAACGGAACAGCATTGGCTGCGTTGTGCTGCAGCGCCACAGAGTCGTCGTCCTTGCTGCTGCTGCTGCTGCTGCTGCTGCTGCTGCTCTTGCTGCGGAGCCTGCTGACTAGAGAATGTACGAGAGAGGCTGCTGCAGCGCCAGCAGCATCGTGCTGCGGTGTCTCCTCAAGGCAGGCAAGGTATTGCTGCTGCCGCTGCAGCAGCTTGAGCTGAAGTAGTCGCTGCTGCTGCTGCTGCTGTTGCTGTTGCTGCTGCTGCTGCTGCTGCTGTCGAGAGGCCTCGCTGCTGCTGGGGGAAGGGACTGCTTCTGAGCTGTCTCCTTCCGCTGGGTTTATCTGCTGCTCTTCTGCAGCAACAACCGCCAAGCAGCCTTCTTCTGTAGCTGCTGCAGCCGGTTGCTGTTGCTGTTGCTGCTGCTGGGGTTGCTGCTCTTGCTGCCCGTGCTGTTGTGCCTCGTGCCCCTGATCCTGCTCCTGTGAATGCTCCTGCTGCAGTTGCTGTTGCTGCTGCTGCTTCTCCTGCTGCTGCTGCTGCTGCTGCTGCTGCTGCTCCTGTTCCTGCTGCTGCTGCTGCTCCTGTTCCTGCTGCTGCTGCTGCTCTTCGTCCAGTGAACTACCTGCAAGTGCTGTTGCTGGTGCAGCAGGAGGAGACGAATGCTGCTCCAGCATCGCCTCACCTGTCACTACAGATGAGTTCCTCTTGCTGCTGCTGCTGCTGCTGCTGCTGTTGATCTGGGTTGTGCTGCTGCTGCTGCTGCTGCGGTTGCTGCTGCCTCCGTTGCTGCTGCTGCTAGATGTAGATGCTCCCGCTGACGTTCCAGCATCACCAAGCAGCAGTGCCTCCTCGAGGGCAGGCTTTAATAAGAGCACACAAAAAGCTCCTCAGCAACAGCAGCAGCAGCAGCTGCTGCTGCTGCTGCTGCAGCAGAGACCGCCGCAGGGGCCCCCTGCAGCGGCATGTCGAGCTGTTTTCTTCGCTCGCTCAATCGGAAATGAGAGCGCAAGGGTTAAGGTATAAGGTGTATGGGGTAGGGTTTAAAGATTAGGGTTTAGGGTTTAGGGTTTAGGGTTTGCGCCGGGCAGAGGCTGCTGCTCCTTGTCTGCTGAAGAAAAACAGCTATTGAATTTGTTTGAGTTTTGTTTTTTGATAAATAATAACTCTGCGTTATTTAATTTGTATTTTTTGCTTCTTAGATATTTAAAACCTGCCTTCTGCTGCTGCTGCCGCTGCTGCTGCTGGCCGCTGCTGCAGCAGCTGCTGCTGTATGACTTACCCCTCTTATATTTTTAAATCAATTGCCATTTAAATTTATTTATTTATTTATTTTAATTTATTTATATTTTATTTCAACATTTACAGAAAAGAAGCAGCAGCTGAAGCCTCCGCCTCCGGCTGCTGCGCATTGCCCTGTCTTTTTCTTGCTTTGTTTGGGTTCGTAATAATAATTCTACAGATAATTTTAAATACATAAAAGTATATATTTATATTTAGTTATATATTTATATTCATACATAAATACACCTATTTATTTATCATGTCAATGTGTAGTGTACTGTAAGGTACACTCAACATATATATATATATATATATATATATATATATATATATAT